CTTTTTTACAGACGTGTTTTTTATTATTATTATTATTATTATTATTTTTTAACAGAGGAGGTTCGCCCGATTTCAACGCTTGGGCAATAAAACAACATCTCCTATCATACGATATAAACGTATATAGTAACCGGGCCGCCGCCGCGGTTGTATAGGTATACGAAGTGATCGCCTATACGCGCGATTCTCCTGTTGGCTGTAACAATAATAATTATTGTTATTGTCGGATCGACGACGGCATACGTTAAAAATGGTAATATCATTATTTCGGTGAGGGGTATGGGGGAAAACGTAAAAAAAAAACCTCACGGAGGCGAAAATAACGGGCGATAAATCGCACCGGTCGGCGGCGTTGGGTTTTGGGCGCCGAGGCCGTTGAGAGATTGCGTTTCCGTTTTTGTGTACGGGTGACGACGACGGCTCCAGCGCGCGGATAGGTTACCTATGCCATAATAATATATTATTATGTTATTTAAACGGTTTTGTTTTACGGAAATTTACGACCCGACCGAATTAACGACGTTCGGGAATATAACAATAAAAAAAGAAAGAAAAAAAAAACAATAGTAACGGCCAAAGGAAAGAAAAAAAAAAAAAGAAAAGAAGACGCGTCGTCGTTTACAGAGACGGTCGTACGACGACTCAATAATAACGTTAAAATATAGACGTCACGTCTGAATTCATTGTCAAAACCGCTTTTCGTAAATAATAATAATAATAATAATATTATTATTATAGTCGACTGCCGATGCGGAATCGCATGCATTACAAGTCGGTTCGAATAACCTGTTCGTCGCGTTGTCGCGCGCGTACAGAATTTTTAATAGCCGGTGGGGGGAGGACGACGCGACACACACGCGAGTAGGCGGACAAAACGTTGAGAAAAAAATAAAAAAATAAACTGTCATATAATAAATAATAATTAAATCGAACGAAATCGATTTATTACAGTCGCGTCCGAATGGATCGCAATAGTACAGTAAAACCGTCCAACCGAAACGGAGAACGGACGGGACATTATTGTGCCGTTTACATAGTATTATAAAAAGTCATAATATATGCGGACAAGAAAAACGATAGTATTAAAAAAAAAAAAAATAAAAAAACGACACTGCGCGCGTAATAAACAAGACGCGCGGATAGAAACAATTGTATTGAAAAGAATACATTTTTTTTTTTTTTTTGTTTTAAAAAAAAAACCATCCGGTTGCGCGCGTTCGGTACACCGACGCCGTGCACAATCCGCGGCGCCTGAAATCAGTGCTCGAAACCCCTAGCAATTTCATAGCCTTTAGGTTTCGAATCGTAATGATAAGACATAATATTTGATCAATAGCTATTTGAAAGCGGTCTTCTTCAGTCATAAAATATCGATGCTTGCTCCTGGCTGCAGTTTAGAGAAAACCGCGCGGTTTAAAAATTTCCATTAATACGTTAGGTTATGTTAATCGGTAAGTCGGTTAATATCAATACTGTCGTACACCGTTATTCCGAAAAAACTGGCCCGCGAGTAGGATTTCTTCACGAGTGGGGGGGGGGTGAAGGAATTTAATACATTTTTAAATTGTTAGTAAATAATATTATATTCACATGCATTTGTCCATACATTCGAAATGCAATATATTTTTCATTTTGGCATGTTCAATCGGGACAATAACACCATTATAGTAGTGTTTCATTATGATGGATTATTAAACGAATTATTGTATAATTTGTACAAATATAATTATAGTTGATCAAAAGTACAAAATTCAAGAAAACAAATTATAATATTTCGATCACTTTTATACTTCAGTCTTTCGAAGATAAACGTACTTTTAATTTGATAAAACTAATAACTGCGGAGATTCAAAACAAAAAAAGACAACAGGGGTTCGAATTCCAAAACTCTCCCCTCCCTTCATTCGTCAAAAAATCTTCAATTGTAATTATCTTTGGGCAAGTGGAAGAGATACAAAACTTAATCGCCAATTCCTAAAGGATGATCAAATACGCCCCAAAATGAGTTTTAATTAATTTGTAGAATTTGATTGGAAACTTTTAGTCCTTATTTATATGAACGGTTCCGATTTTTCGAACGGTTAGGTTTGAAAACGGTTTTGAAAGTGTTCGGAAATGACAGAACGGTGGTATCAACCGGTTTTAAAACGATTGGTCTTTTAACGATAGTTTTACGATTGATTTTAATTCGCTTGAAATAATGATTGAAATATCGTATACAAATAACAACATTACGCTCAACATTTTTTTTTTTTAACATTCAGCACATCTTATGATGAATCTTGGGTAGTTGTATCAAATTTTCGGTGCATTTTACGAGACCAAATTTTCTCTATTACCGTATTTAGAAACGCGGTGCGTATTATGATAAATGATCGCATGATCTTAACGCTAATACAAACGATTAAACATATACATTATGAATAATTATCTGAATAAATCACGTAGAAACAAATTAATTACAAGTTCAAGTTTTTTTAGACTCGAATGTAGCGAAGAACCTATACAGTATACAAGTTTTAATAAGATTTTTTTTTTTTTTTTTTGGAAAACTCTTTTTCGATTAGGCAGGTGTAGAAAAATGGCATCATGCTTATTAAAAAAGTTTCAAAAATATCTTCATAAATTCCAAAAAAAAAAATAGATACGTATATAACAGACAATCTAATGATGGTGATTGATCGTTTGATACCAATTTTACAACAAACACTTATCAGTAAATGCCACGATAACGATTGATGACGTTATATATACAGACGTTATCAATCGGCACAATACATATTTAAAATGTTTCATTACGTTTAGTTTGCGTTTCCAAACATAAAATCGATATTAGCAATCTAAAATCAATGTAAATTTTTTAATTTTTTGATCCTGAGCGAAGCGATGAATTAATTGGTTTTAAAAGAATCGAATAGCTCAGTGTCGTTTATCGTTAGCAATGATTAATCGTAACAGATATAGATTAAATTCATTTAAATAACACCTTCCCAAATTTCGACTTATTATAGTGGTCTGTTTTTCTTCCCGGGAAATTTGGGTACTTTAAGCTGCTCCTTGTGGACCAAAAAACGCTCACACTCGGGAATAAGAGTTGTTCTATAAGTGGACTGGAGAAGTCAACTTTTGGTTAAATTTCAGTATGAACTCTTCACCGTGATGTTGCAGAAAGAGCGTAAACACCCTATAGTTTTGCACGCCCCTAAAGATCCGTAAAACGAAGCCTGAAAGATGGCATTTTGTCAATACGTGATGGTAATTACCAAGGATATGGCTTTTGTTGGTTACAACTTTTAACTCTCTCTCCAACCATTCCTATGCTTAGTTTTGATGTTTTCACGGGAAATTTCGAGTTTAAATATACACTCACAGTACCACGAAAGCGAATAACTTGGTTAAAATGTTTATAAATAAATAGAATTATTATCGGAGTTGTGCTTTTAAAAGGTTTGAACTTTCAACCCCCATCAGTTTGTACGATAGTGAAAATCTCGAGAACTAGGTACTTTCGATACTTCGACAAAACTTTTTCGTTCAATTATTTTATCGTTATAAAAAAAAAAAAAAAACATGAAATATTGTAACGGCAACAATGTCAGCTGGCAGATAATTCGGGTGTAGTGACTTTAGTTCTGCTGCCCGCGTGTTTTTCAATAACCCGTTTGAAAATTTTAGATAAACGCTAGATACGCACTACGGGGTTTCGGGTGTTTTTGTAGAATCGTCCAAATCGGTTTTCGGTAAATCTCGTGCCGTTACATTATTATCGCAGCGGTCCCGCAGCAGCGTGTGTGTGGTCGGGAATAATAAACACGCGGCGAACGTCATTATCGTATTACAGGTATCGCGATATACTTACGATTCCGGTATCGACCTGGCCTAATGGTAGCAATACAATAATTGATGTATAATCGTGTAGTGTAGTAAAGCTTAGCTACACGTTTTATACTTACACCTATTATTATTATATTGATCGGGCGTCGGTTTTCAAAAAAAAAAAATTCTCACCGCAATTAATTCCGGTATTCCGGGAGCCGGTATTTTATGGTAATACTAATAATAATATAGGATAATACTTTAAAATACTCAATTTAATATAGGTACGTAATATCATTATAACGTTATTGTAGCTAGGGGTTGTATCAATATTATTGTGTTTTTTGTTTTTTTTGTTTTTTTTTTTTTTTTTTTTTTTTTTTTTATCGTAGTTTTCGGTTACTTCACCGCGGTACACGGACACGCGACGTGTACCTAAAAGTAATAAATGACGTCCCAAAAAACTCGAAAACGTGTTATAATATAATATATGTGCGGCGTAATCGTTTCGAAGTGATTTTTACCGTGTGATTTTTTTTTTTTTTTTTTTTTTGTCAGACGCATTTTAAACAGCCCGTGCGCAATAACAAATGGAATTATTGGACAGGTATACGACAGTCGAAATACAGGTTAAATACGGCAACAAAAGGCGGCGGTACTTTTGATAGGTATTTTCGTTTAATTTCACACGTTTTTTTTTTTTTTTTTTAGATTTAAATTTAAAAATCTTTCACGAAATATTCACCCGTAAGCAGTCCGACCCAAATCTTCACGCTTGTACATACTTACGCTTGATATACACCTGTCTGCTATGAACAATACACGAGTGTACAAATACTACATAGTATATAGTATATACTATGCAGTATCGGTGTGAATGAATATCCTACGAAGCAGCGGCTGCGTGGGCGAACCAGGCAAGTTGATGGGTCTACGTGTGATGGAGCCGTCAAACGGGGGGATGGGGGGGGGTTATATGAAGACATAATTTCTAATCTCCCTGCGTTCCCTCGTTTTTCTTAAAGTGATAACGAATCCGGGGGCATCCAGACGGAGAAGACCGCCGTCCTCGCCACGTGAAGCTCGGTGGGTAAGTCACGGCACTGAATTGCCAGCCGAGGGATTCGCACATTTCAGTTTCACGACGCGAATACGCCAACACCTAAAATCTAACGCCGCGCCGTCTAGTCGGGCTGAATCGACGCGTCTATAGGAGACACCGCGGAGAACGGACTAGAAGCCACCGTGGGTTTCGCCGGTTCGCCGACTCCTAGTTTGCTGACTCCGAATTTGCCGACTCTCAATTCGTCAACAACCAGTATATTCACATCGGCTTTGTAAAACTAATGAAATAATTTACCTACACACATATACACACAATACATGTTATCTATATTCCATGTATTATAAATCAGTATGCGTTATATTTCGTAAAAAAAAATAATAAATACATACATAAAAAAAAAAAAAAAAACTGTTTTGCATACTTTCAATAATAATATAAAAATTTTAAGTGGATATGGTATTTGACATACTCAATGAAATGGAATTAATATAAGTAATTAAATTTCGTTTTCTTCTGAAATGAAAAAAAAATGCAAATATAGAATATAAAAAAAAAAAATACTATTTTACCGTAGGTAATAATCATGTAATAGGTATAACGACAACATAGCTGGTTTGTTAGATGGTTAATACTAGGGTTTGACCTTGTAGCTGTGTAAATTGCTATACCAATATTATCATCGTTGTCGGCGAATTAGAATTCGTTTAAAAACCATTAAAAACTTTTGTTTGGGTTGAAAAACCGGGCGTCGGCGAACTGGAAAAAAACCAGAAGCCAACAACCGGATCTCTATCCCAGTTGAATTGCCACATCCCGTTATTTTGGCTGTGATTTCGCTGGATTTTGCCAGGGAACAGTAGAAACACTTTATCAAATCGACATGTTTCCTCGTCTTCTAGTGTCATCCCTGTCTCCCATTTTGTTGTACCCATGACTTCCCGACAGGGGAATCTCCATGTGAAGCAATAATCATAGTACGACTTCATATTATTATGTGGCATTCACGTTACCAAGTTCAACACAAAAATAAAAAAAGAATAAAAAATATATCTATGTTCGTCCCTAAAATACTGAATACCTCATTTCAGTCTTCTTGAATATGAGTTTATACCAGACATATTTCTCAACATTTCAAGTATATAATTTTTTCTGAAAGAAAATATTTTCTAGTATTGATGCATAAGAAGGTCCTTTTTAATTTTTTAAGTTAAAAACAATCGTTCTGACGGGTAGACTTATACAGACACTTATATTAACACTAGTTGTCCCGCGCCCGGCGTTGCCCGTGCCAATTTTTATTATTATTATTTTACCCATATTTATTTTTGGTTTTGGAATGGCCATGTTAGAATTGAATGAAAACAAATAGGTGGAAAGTGGGTAGTCCACCAGCGGCGGCCTAAATGTGTTCTATTGTGATATTTGAATAGTTTAAATAATAGTGATAATAAAAATTATAATAGTTTTATTTTATAATGTGTCGGTGACTCGTTGACAGGCCAGTCTGTCTCAATGCATTAGCTCGACGGCGTTCATTGCGTTGCTCTTGACTTTCATTAGTACGTGTGATTACAGCCTGGTTTCTTAAATTTTCATTGTCCTCGATTTTTTTTTAAATGGGGGGGGGTTGATGGATTTCAAAGGAAGTTAANAATCTTATTACTTCATTGCGTTCAGCTCGTGTGTCTTCTGACTCTTCTTGACGCAATTGCGCCATTCTGACACGTGCATCAGTATTTTGTTGCTGGATTTGTTCTTCGGTTCTTTCGGATCTTCTATTTCGCAAGCTTCGAGATTTACTTGTATTACGGTTCAAATCAGCCCCTTTGCGTTTTGTTGGCATTGAAATATGTGCAAAACACACGTACATAGGTTAGGTTAGGTTAGCAAAATTAGCCAAATCGGCCCAGCCGTTCTCAATTGTTATTGGCACGCGGGTGCCACGGAAACCAATAATAAAAAATAACCACATAGAGTGTATATTATCTCTCCATGGCAAAATAATAATTGTTGAATATCGTGCGTGCTAGTATACTTTGACTTAAGAGGCCATAACTCCGGAACCACTTATCGCAGAGCATACAAACTTAGATAGTAGCCGATTCTCAGGCCTACTGAATATGCATATAAAATTTCATGAGAATCGATCAAGCCGTCTCGGAGGAGTATGGGAACGAACATTGTGACACGATAATTTTATATATACGATTTTATATCCATTATAAAATGTTCTAAATATTCTTGTAATTTTTGAGCTATTTATAGACATTCGACATTATCGAGTTGTTATTAGTTTTTATTTGGTATTATACGGATAAAATTATTTGGCTAAATAGAAATTGTTGAATATTTAATACGATACGTTCAATATTATAAGGTGTGCTCGGTGGTAAACAAATAATTTATGATTGATAAAGTAGTTTATTTTTTATAAACGTTTTACATTTAGATTGGGTTGCTATATAAGATTAAATAATAACAATTTTTATTAAAATATATTAATTTGTGGATGTTATTTATAGAGTTAAAATTACGGCTGACCAAATTTGGAACACAGATTTAATTATAGGAAATACGACAACTTTAATAATAAAACAATTAAAAAAAAAAATTAACAATCTTTGGGTATCAATATGAGAATCGCCTCTTCGCGATGGCCCTTGGAAAAATCTAGATGCTTCTCAAACTATAATTATTTGGATAGGTAAAAAGAAATTGTTTGGTGGAAACGATTACCAAGCCGATTATCATGTCATTTTTTTCTGTATAGGTAAGAACGTTAGGTACCTAACGGTTTTTTTAAATAATTTTTTTTTCTAAAGCGAACTACGAGGATAACAAGCCATTATTACAATATTTCTGCCTTGATCATAATAACAATTAAAATATGTTAATTCGGTTATTATTCTGTCGGCACCACATCACTCCACCTACCTCCTCCACCTCTTCCCCGGCTAACTTTAGGGATTTCGTTCTCGGGTTTATGGGGGTAGGCGTATTGTAATAAAACATTATACACGAGCTGGCGTATAGGTATCCGAAAATTAAAATATTGTTTAATCGAAAATAAAAAAAATCGAATCCGTTTTGTATGATAATATAATATGTGTACGTGAACAAAACACATAACGGTCGGTACCGGTTACCGACGGCAGTATTTTTCTAAAAAAACGACTCAATTTTTTATTATAACACAGGGGTCTGTGGAGGTACCCACACGGAATACGGAACGCGTGTTTGTTGCCGTTGTTTTTTTTTTCTTTGCTTTTCGAATAATTGATTCAATCTATATATTAAAAAAAAAAAAAAAAAAAAAACATTTTAATAAAAATACACGCTGCCGATGATACTATTACCTACTCGGTTACGATGTTCTCGCCGCGTGAAAACCATTTTGTGTATACGCTGGCGATATTTCAAATTAAACTGGTTTTATTTAAATTAAAATATATCGTTTGACAGCCAACGGAATACTGTCCGTAATATTATAGAACCTTACGGTTCGAACACGAATATTTGACAAAAAAAATGTATACATATATATTTACGCGCATAAAACTAAATATAACCGTTTGAAAACACTCGAAACAAATATAAAACACATTATGTATACATATTAATTTACATATTATTGTGATACTAATATTACGCCTTGAAAGTTTAATAAAAACGAATCGAACACGAAATACTCGTAACTCGTATAGCGTACTATAGGTACTCTGCACTCAATCCAATCGGCGATCGTTATAATTAGGGCTGCGAATTTGTAGGGAAGTGCATTTTTTTTTAGCCGATTGTGAAACGTAGCTTTCTATGTACACAATTTGAATATACGTAACAACAAATTCATTTACGAAATTTGTATTTTGCACTTTTTGGACTTTTTAAGTCAAATTGTCTTTTTCTCAGTACATTTCCCGGTATTTTTAATCAAATTCCGTCTTCTAAACATCTTTACACGCATTTTTTTTGTTTTACACAGGCTGTGTACACGTCAAATTTATATTTTATAAAATAATATTTTACAGAAGCTGTATACGGGTTAGGCAAAGATAATGATTCGATAAATTAAATTGTTTAGATTAGTTATTTGTGGGCTTGCAATATATCGATTCATTGCATTCGAGATATTGATCGATATCAGTGATATCAAAAAAAATATAAACATTATATTAAAAACCATTTTAAGTGCATATTCCATTGCATTTGTTGGCATTTTTTGTGCAAAAGCACGGAGTTAAATCCCCCCATTTCAAAATCACTACAAGAATTCAGGTTTTTATTTCTACTTCCAATTCACTGCTGGTATTCGATATAGCCGATACCGGTCAGAACCGCCCCTCCCCCTATAATTGTGTACAATTTTTAAACTGTGTACAGGATATGCTATTGGTATGTAAAATCATGATGTATTTTGGCGTAGTAATGCTGCACTAAAAGTAAATTACGATAATATAGGTGTGTTACATGAGTTTAAGTAACATGAAAATTTATTAGTTTTTTTTTGTTTACTTATTTTGATAGCAAAACGAAAAAATGTTTATTTACTAGTTTTTTAAAATCTCTTCAGTATTTTTCAAGCGCTTAGTTCGGGGTTCAAAACATAGTTTGTTAGGCGGCTTTTTTTTTTTTTTTTTTTGGATCTCAAGCGCTTTAAGTTTCGACTACGCTTATAACTTAGAAACTCGAGTATTTCACGTTTATTACTGTTATTAGTATTATTTGAAACCGCCAGTAGGCCTAATTACCTATACTACTATTTTGTCGTTTTGCCTAATTAATGTTGTTCAATTTATATACAGTTACATTGATTCTAAAATAAAACGATTTCTGCGTTAATACTGTTTGACGATACAAAAATGATTGATTTTTCGACCACGGTAGGCACAACGAATTAACGCTGTCTAAAAACTCCGAGAGGCCGAAATTAATGTCCGTTCGCCTGTAGATATTACTGTGGATTTCTGTTTTAAAGAAGTTTAAATTAACTCGTGGAGGAATTCAATTCTGGGGACTTTCGAATTGAAAATTTAAACCGTTGTTTGCGTTTTGTCGACATGGTGTGTATACTAGGCTGATTTTTTTTTTTTTTTTTTTTTTTGACTGCCGACACTACTGAATTGTTAATTTCGGTAGCAGAACATGTATTATTTGTGAAATGAAACGAGTGCAATCATATAATATTATGTTAATAATGAATTATTTATAAACGTTTAAAATGTAGAGAAACGGAACAATACGTATAATATATTATTAAGCAGTAACTTTGCGCGCAGTAGAAAAATACAATTTCCCGGTTTCTCCGGTTCCACTTGCGTGCAAAACTTTAAACGCTTATAAATAATAAACTATATCAAGTCAAAAGTTGTTACATAACTAACAGAAGTGGTTACAAAGGAACTGGTAACAATTATAATATAGTGCCTATACACTTACTGCTAAACTATTTTAATAATAATATAATGTATGTTTAAACTTACTATATAATGTGTACGTTGTAGAGAGGAAAAATATATATTTATACATCCAACAAATTAGTATATATATATATATATATTTTTGTTTGTTCGTCTTTTTTTTTTTTTTTTTTTTTTTTTTTTTTTGTAAATACACTCGTCGAAGAGTTCGAAAGTCGAAGAATTTCTCCTTTGAAACATTTCCGACGATGATATTGTAATTATTATTATACATAATATAATATTGTATTATGACGGATAAAACAATGTTCGTTAATTTTAGTTGATGAGTCTAAGACAATATGATGAGATGCATCCTTTTCGTAATTTTCAAAGAGACGAAGGGTAATAATAAGTAATAACATTGTTCCCTAAATTTCAAACTGCATACCGTTATATTATTATACAATGACAATATAACATTGTATCGTTCGAATATGTTAATTAGATATATATACTTGTATATTTACAGACGTTGCAAAACTAATCAATAAACTAAAATTGAAAAACTGTGCGAAACGGAGGTTCAATCTCGTATAACAGGTGAATTCCTATTATACAGTTTGGAGAATAACGTAATGAAAGTGTACTTCATAGTGGACGGAGTGTAGATGTATTTTAGCGGGATGGCTTTTTTTTCGTTATTTTAATTTAAAACGAGACTATGAGTGAGTAGAATATCACAATTTCGAAATACTTATCTCGATCTTATACTCTCGATTAAAAATTAAAATATCGCGAAAAAAACTAACGCCGTAGTGTCTTCTTGTTTGTGTTTTATAATAGCCAACTATAAAATGCGGTTTACTACAACGACCTTGTGACAAGGTACGACACTTTCTCTAATACTCTTCAACATTCAATTAAATAACATAAAACTGCTTAACTTAAATAGCCATATTATGTGTTAGCCAATGAAACGGTACCCGTTGATTTGTAGTGGTATCACGCGGGAAGAAGTACTTATAAATATTGAGGCTGATTTATTATCTAATGGAATCCGGCCAAGTAAAAATAATTTATTTTTAAATATTGATAAATCGGCCATGTTACTCCAATCTCTGTCTGAATATTCTTCGCCTGTCGTATATGAATTAAAAATCCGCGAACGAAATAGTAAAACATCAATGCAATGCCTGTGAAAATCAATTAAAAATCGTTAAAAATTACAGGTACTCCGGTATCGAAATATGAACATGATATGAAACGGACAAACCAAATTATCCCGATTATCAATGAGTTAAGAAAGATGATATGTATTATGAAATCACTACGCGAGATACTAGATTATAAAGACAAAAAAACTGTATATTTAACTCTATTTAACCCCTAATCGCATATGGTTTAATTGGTTGGGGCGGTGCTTAAGATAATACTCCACTATGGCTTCAATAATGTCAAAATACTACTATAAGAGTTGAATGTGACAACGATTGGAGATATCCAACTAAAAAATGTTTTGATGCATTTGATGTACTCAATGTAAATAATGTATGTATAAGAACCTACATTGTATACCTAAAGAAACATAACCTGTTATCTCCTATAAAGTATGAGGTGAAAATATACAGCTAATAGCTTATTCTCTTTAAAATGGCCGAAAAAAACAGGATTTAGTAAGATGTTCGATTTTGTTGGGACCAAGATACATAAATTATTGCCTGCCCAATGATGTGCCCAATATGTCCCTACCAAAGTTTAAAAAATATATCGGCCCGCCGGCTTTTTTATGAACACGAAACTACAAAATATATGCACGCAAGATTAAAATCTAGTTTGTAAATTTCCATTTTTATTTAACGATCTGTTTAATTTTGCTGTACTTAATTTATATTAGTTTATTTTATATTATCTGTTTGTTCTTTATTTTTTTATATTTTTGTGTGTGTATTTACTAAAAACATGTTGTAAACAAGATAACTCCTGGGTCTCCACACGCGTTTTAAACTCAGCGGGGTCTAGTAACATTTTCTGATATTAAAATAAAGTTAAAAAAAAAAAATGAATACATTTAACGTGACCACGACTAAGTACCTATATACTATACTACCCACTATAATACTATATATATTGATATACTTTCTAGACATGCGAATAAACCAATAATTTCGGTTAAACAAAAATATTCGAAAATTTGTTACTATCATAAGTTTGTAGTTTTACTGTTCATGAAAAAAATATTTAAATTAGTTAGTTAGTTCTTTCGAGTTCAAATTTCAAATTTTATGATGAGATTCGTTTAAAATACGAAAAGTCGTGATTTCATTATGTCAAGTCACAGTTTAATGCGTTTTTCAATTTAAATTTAGTAAATCTGGTCCCGAAAAATTACACCAAATACGTATCTAGTGTAAAATGCATTGGAATAGCAGAAAATCACCCGGCTTGCAAAACAATTATTATTGTAACTACTTTGTTCTGGCTTAATATAAGTTTTGTCGTGGAGTCAAGTGAATCAATAAACATGTTTAAAATGGTAAGGTTAGGTTAGTTAAAATTTATTGTAAAATGAAAATACGCAAGTAACTGTACATTTAAACATTTCCATTATTGACGTTTACAACAGCATTGCACAATGGAGTCATCCGACAAAGTAATTAAAAGCCATATTTTATTTTATCGGGGTGCATGGCAGTTAATTTTTTACAAACTTTGCGAGTTTCACTTATTATATTACACAATCAAAGTATAAATGCTAAATTTAAAAAAAAAAACGTACCGTGTATGTAAATTCTTTTGTTTTAAATAGAATTTACATAGCAATAAATTGTTTTATATAACAATTAGAACTTAGATATCAATTCTTTTTTTGTAAAATCAGACTCATTTCTCCGTACCCAACTCTCTTTTTCACAATAATTTATGTTTTTTTGTGGGATATCCATTTCGAACCGAATAACTGTTTTTTTTTTCCGTACAATCATTTTTTATACCGACAATTCCCAATTTATATGAAATATTTGTAATTGTATACGTATATATACTATGTCTAATTGCATTATGTTAAAAAAAATTCAATTAGTGTTCACAATCTTTGGAAAAAGAACAAATGCATGACGTCATGATTTATATTGACGATAACGATATAGATGTTAAATACAATAACAGTTCACGTGATAAAAGCGCATGTAATAGCGGACGTGGTCCAGAAGAAAATGTGTGTCCAAATGTCGTAAGTTCAAAATTATTGCGAAAATTTTTGAATAAATTTAATTTAGTCACACTAGTGTTTTTAAACAAATTTGATATTTTTGTTTTTATTTTTTTTTTTTTTTTAACTTCTGATAAACTATATAGTTACGGGCTAATTCTGCCATCAAAACTCACCCCTTGACGCTGCTATAGAAAACAAACATAACATTATATTAATTACGATATTTAATCAAAATATATATATAAATATAAGTGCTTGTATAAAATAATTTTTCAAATTTTATATTGTATGCTAAGTATTGAAATATTATTAATATTTCCCTGTAAAGTATACAAGTAAACCAAAATATTCTGTAATTAATAATTGTTTTTATTGGTTGAATTTGCTAGGTGCTTTAATTTTATCATACGTAGTGCTTCTTTTAAATAAATTGTCGGACAAAATAGAAATTTTTCGGAGAATTTTCTACTAACGATTGAATTATCTGTTAAAACTCGTACAATAATAGAGTAATTATTACACTAAACTGATCGACTCGGTGAAACACACTAGACTTCTTGTATCAATCTTGTTTGATCATTTCCGTGAATTGAATACAAGTAGGTACCTAATTGAAACAAAATTCATGTCGTTTTTCTTCTTCGCGTTTGTCCCTCACGAACTATTCTTATTTTCGCCAACCACCATCCACATCTCCCCTATGCGTATACATCAACATTAGTAATGGCCCATTACTTCATATTATATTCCACATGACCTCGTCGTATCTTCTTTAACATAACACAGTTTATTTTCGTGTTTCTAATTTTAAAACCTAATACTGATACAGAACGTAAAGATAAAATAATCGCGAAATAACTATTTATACTATTTATAATGTTTAGTTCGTATACGAAACTATACACACAGATGAGCAATTTTAAGTTTTTATAATATACGTGTATTAGCTGTATTTCAATTGAAACGTGTAGGTGATACCGTTGGTGGAAATACGCGATGTTTCAAATGGTGTAATACCGAATCCACCATCAGAAGAGAGTAATCATAGCAAGAAAAATATTAGATTGAAGGGCGGCGATGATAATAATCCGAATTTTAATCTGAACTCCTATGCTGATCAATTCCAATCGAAACAAATAAGAACAGCCTTTATCAAAAAAGTTTACAGCATAATATTGATCATGTTGGTAGTAGTAGCTTTGCCGTCGTTTATATTTAATTACTCGTAAGTATCGAACAGACAAATAATAAGTACCATCTATATAGTGTAATAACTAACAAGTCGCTACAATTGCAATACACGAATTAAACAACCTACCCATAACAACTGTCAAGTTACGTTTTGTTTCTTTTCAGAAATGAGACGCGTGAATTTCAAGAGAAATATTTGATGCTTATTGCTGTAGAATCGATGTAATAAGTATATATTTTACAAAATCGTATTTTTTTTCTAGCTTTACAGTGATCAATACCATTATTATATTTCAGGTTTGTATTTTTAGTAACTTTTTACGCATTGACTTGTTATGAATATGTCCGAAAGAGTGTACCGACCAATTTAATAGTTCTTACACTTTACGTATGTATAAAAAATGTTTGAAATGTATTGGTGGACTATGGACCCATGTTCAGATGTTCTTTTATGTATCCGATATGCGTGTAACTGTATAATATATGTAATAATAATTATACAGGTGACTAATATCCAACGGCTAAGTAAGAAAACGGAATCAAATAAAAACAATTTATATGAGCTTTGGGTCCTTAAACGTGGTTTTGTTAGCGTTTAAACTCTGCGGTTTTTGACCCAGGGTCGTGATCCACAAAGGGGTTATAAGTGATAATTGGGGGTCGTGAAAAAACCACGAGTACCACGTATACTGTATACCGTGGTATTGACATTTTATTAAACAATTTTCGAGTGGATCTTCTTAAACTACAAAAAAAATTAGAGGTTATAATTCCTAAATAGTTGAAAATAACTCGCCGTATGGTGAACCCACATAATTAAATACCAATCGATCTCTGTTCTAAAACTGTACATCTGCCTTATTAAATATATAAACTTGTGAATCCACCTGATTAAATTTCAATTGATCCAATTGCTAAAAAACTATAATATTACTCAAGCTGAGCAATCACTCACGTTTTCTTACTTGGTCCCTATACATTAATAATTGGAGATTTGTCATTGACGATTTGTATACATTTGTACATTTGTATACAATTTGCATATACACTGTTTTGTATTGTAACATTCTTAGTCTGCTTCTTTGGGCGGTTCAATAAGCTGTGTTATAATTCACTACAGAATGGAATTCATTGTAATGGCATTAGTATATACAATTGGACTAACTTTAACAATCACAATATTAGCTGCGTGTTGCCCGGCAAGTATTAACTTTAATATTATATAACTTTCAGAAAGTAAATATCTGAATTAATTATAATATTATATAATATCTTATTTAAGAGAGATTAATAATTAAAAAAAAAAGCTTCGGAATTACAACAGGCCTTGTTTTTATGAGTTTTTGTTTTGTTTTATAATGAATTAATTAGTTTAAATATTTGATATAATCAATGTAGTCAACATTAATGAAAATCACATATTTTCCTAACACGATTACTGTTTGAAGCATATTTAAAAAAAAAAAAAAAAAAATATTTATTAATTATTTCATACTCCGGATTCTATGAAATTACTAGAAATGGAAAAAAAAAATTAAAGCAGAAATATTGAGATGTAAATGTTATTTATTAAAATGTTTAATTATTTTTCAGATTGATATTACAAAATTCGGAATACTCATTACTGTAATGGGAATGATAATTTTCATATTTACACTCATAACTTATTTCTTTCTTATTTTGTATTACCATGAGATTAAATTAGCACAATTGATTATGGGAGCTGTTGGAGTTTTCATCTTTTCAATCGTAAGTATTTACATTATGATATAATTTAATGTATAAAAATAATTAATTATTGTCTAAACTATAATTCATAGTTAGTAAGTGGTATGTATACCTATTAAGGAACTTAATAATATCTAATACATAATAATATAAATAAATAAATATTGTATTACAGATGTTATTGTATCGTATCTTTAATATTTAATTAAATTAGGTATTCAACCAAAAATTAATTACTTAGATCGGTGTATAACTGTTATCATTATTAGAGAGGCTGAATATAAATCATTTATCTAGTTTCTCTAGTTATTATTTCTATAAAATTTACGGATTTTTAAAAAATTAATTTTTTAAATTTAATAATTCGAAGCAGGATACTCTTCTAGTAAATGAATGTATCGTACATTTTATGGTAACAATTGGTTATTGTTTGATATTCACTTAGTTTAAACAACATGTTGTACTATACCTACTTGAATGCCGATTATTTTTGTTTTTTTTTTTTAGTTTTTGGCATACAACACTCAGATGGTTCTTGGTGGCGGAAAATACGAAATTACACCGGATGAATACATTTTAGCTGTGGTTGTCATATTAACAAACATTGTAGACATATTTTGGTCTATCTTATTACTGATGAGTGGATTAGAAAAATGAGTGGATTAACCTACCGTTAACATATTATACTTAATACGGAAAAGTGTTCAATATCACAACCCATATGGTTTTTTTTTTTTAATAAACTGAATATTTGATTTTTAACTTATAGTTCAACGTAATTTAGTGATTTGTTTTATAAGCACTTTGAGTTCAAATTTTAATAATTTTAGTTCAATTTTTATCGATATATATATATTGATAAAAAATGCAAAATATGTACCATGTTTTTAAGATAATAGGCAGTGCCGGATCCTAGGGCTGTTCAAAGGAGGCGGATTTTATTAAAACAAAGTATATATTAAGTAATATAATTTGTATATAATACAAAAATTGCATAAAAAAATGGCCCAAAGGGGAGTGATCGCCATGGAACCCCTCTTGTATCCTTCACTGCTTATTACGCGTCCCACTTCAAACAAATAGTAAAGGCACGCTTGCATTTCTGAAAAATTAGTTTAAGTACTCCGTTTCACTGCGTTCCCCCTCAATTCGAGCACTACTTGTGAATATTTCTGTGATATAAGTTTAAAAAATCAATTTAAGAGGACGTTATTTACTGTTTCAATTTAATCGATGGGAAACATAGAAAAATTATATTACATAAAACATCAATTGTATTAGTTCTGCAGGTTGTGCATTAAACTTCAAAACACATATAACATTTAAAGAGGAGAATATTTCCGAGGGCAGTATGGAACTTTTTTAAAAAAAAATAAGTACAGTCCTTGGAAATATTCTCCTAATTTCGTCATTTATTTTTTTTTTAATATCAAGTTAGAATTTAAATTTTAACGACATAATGTATTTTCGAAGTAACGTAATTTTGCTAGGTTGTCCGTAAGTTTGTCGGAGACAACACGTCATGCGGGCATGACATCTTTTTAATAATAATTTCATTCTTGCATACTAAAACCTAGTCAAAGTCTCGCTGTAGGTAGACTATGCAATTTATCGTAACTGAATATTATGTATAGGGTATAATAAACAATTACACGAAAAGTTATTAAGAGTGAAATTAATGATGAGGAAAATGAACAACAAGAAAGAAATTGCAAGGAAAGAATACAAGGAACTTAGATTTTATTAAATGTTGGTATAACATCCAAATAATAGTACAACCATTGTAGAATATCTTCTAAACCCTGAATGAACTAAATCGACATTTTTATAACAAGGCAAATCATATTATTCTTACATTTGTGGGACATCCCTGATAATAGCTATAGAAGAGCACAGATAATCCATTAAACTTCCTTCCGAATGGAAATAATGGCATTTTACATTATCAATCATCAAGTAGTAAATTAAGTTTATACAATTTCGGTTATGATTATGTCTTTAATTATAGTAATAATGTTTAGGCGATGATAGCGGGTGGAAGGTAAAAGTCAATATCCCGCCGAGAAAAATAATTCCATTTTGAAACGGTTTCGTCACGGTCTGCAATGTCCGCAGACTGCAGGGGGCAGCGGCGACGGACAATAAATTTTGCTGACCGCACGACAATATTATTATTATTATATTACATACAAAGACTACGGGGAAAAAAACTACTACGAAATGAACAAAAATGACCGGCAAAATATAAAAGACATAATATTACCACCACGGCTAAAACGGTAAAACGATGTCGTCATTTTGTGTGCGGGGGAAACAATGAAAAAAAAACTTGATTTTTGGTTTGCGCTAATACGTGGCGACAATTGCAGATTTTTCGGCCAGAGAAAAAAAAACAAAATATAACCTAACTCTATATAGCCCAAGCTTCGTGTCCGAATACGCTTCTGTAGTTGGCTAGTTTGAGGACATTCATATTTTAAATTGATATCTTATCATTTCAACGACCACGCGGTATGGTATCCTAGTGGGTTAGTGATTACTGATAAACACTGTGCTCAGTGGCAGCGCAATGAGTGGGCCAGTGTAAGCCGCGGCCCACACCAGAATCTTCGTGGGCCCCAGTTGGCCCACCTTGTATGATTACGAAGAAATTCTGTTTTACATTACATGTTATATTTTGAAATATATAGAGATCATAGTTATATCTTAGATTCTAAGTGTAGCGAAGAATGTATTGGTTTTAAAAAGATATTTATTTTTGAATTATTATTATTACTTTTTTTTTGTGTGAACACTTTTTCTACAAGAAAGCTTATTCTGGTGAGTCTGATGTATAAAATGTAGAACCTTTTCTGAATACAAATTTTCTTGGGTTGATAGGGCTGGTAAGGGAGGTCATTTTTCGAATTTTTAGGAGTTTTCTCATCAAATGTGAAAAACCGGGAAAAACGTAGGAAAAACGAAAAAATCGGGAAAATCGGTATAATATTAAACAATTATTATTAAAGAAAATATATAATGCCTATTCAATCATTTTGCCATGATAATCTTCACGGATTGATACATAGGTATCAAGAGAAATGTTGGCCCTCCTAAGAAATGTTGGTCTCAGCTTTGCCCACATGAAATAAAAGTTCTGGGGCCACCACTGACTGTGCTTATGAATTCTGTCTTCAGATATGAACCCGACATTTGTAAAATAGATTTTTGCGGTTATTCCCCCGTTTGCTACCCGATACGTATAGTAAATCGAATTATAATTCAGGGTTTAAAATTAATATTAAAATACCTACATGATCTCGCAAAGCCAACGAATGGAGGTGGCGGATAACCGAAAACGAAATAATTTCAATATTACTATAATAATAACACGCAATTTGAAAAACGCGGTATTTTAAGTCAGCCAATCAATAATCGTATTTTAACCGCACAATTCATACAAATCCATGTGAGCAGCGTATTTAAATACGGCGCTGGGTCACTAGAGACTATAGAGACTCAAGTCCCTGGACTTTTTAAAAAATATTAATTAACTCGGTGTCTCGTATATTTGCAGTATACTGCAACTGCAGCACGTTGACAGATATTGAACATTTTTGGCAATTCAGTTCTAGTCAAAATGCTCACTAGTCTCGCTCACGCAGGACTCCGGAAAATCATCATACCGCATCTTTGAAGAAACGATCGTTTCGTTGTGTATCGCCTTGGACAACGATTTTAATGGTAATTCGTTCAGAAAAGTACGGAGATACTTATAATTTGGTTGGCACAATACAATCGGTAAACGACAAAGTCAAAGTCTCTCGAGTCCTGCCATCCACGTCGATCGGACAAAAAGAATATTATTATTGAAAATGAATACATCACTACATCACGACAATACATGAAATTAATCAAAATAACTTACATATTTTGTTAGATAACATGCACGGTATGGTGTCTACACTGTTAAACGTATTAACCGCCTAGGCGTGAATAGATTCATTGAAGTATAAGGGTTAACTAATATTTTTAATGACGATATGCAAGCCGTGGGTGGGCTTTGACCCGAACCACCCCTGTATAGAACGCAACTATGAAGAATTATTACATTTTTCTATTGTAATCGCTTTTAATTACCAATACCCGCCTACATAACCGTATAGACACAATTAATAAACACAACACAAGAAATACGGTCTGAAAAATCGTTTGATGTATAGGTACACCCCATACAATGTGGACATAAAAATGCATTTTTTCCACCGTAGTTTTATGAAAATTTATATGAAATTGTTTTAACTAAAGGTATTCTACATTACACAATTGCATAATATTATTATTAATTAGTAACAAAACGTCTCGATAATTTCTGTAATTAAAAATGTCGTCATAACTTTTGAATTATTCAAAACCATCGGCAAATATTATTATTGTCGACAATAACATACGCACATTGCACTTTTGGAGCAAGATTGCCACGACATGGTAATCGTATGTATTGTTTTGAGAAAAACGAATATAAAATTGCAAATATTCTCCTGGGTGTTATGCGTTATTTTTCGTCGTTTTATACTCTTTAAAATTGTGTATAATGTAATATCACAATAACTTCAATTTCTAAGAATTTATAATTATGGCTGTATGTAATTTTAAATTCTAGCGGATTACTGCCATATTTCGATTTTGATCAGTATAACGTCATTATACTTAAAAAAAAAAAATAGAAATATTACGTAAAACAGACACAAATACAAAGTCTTAATCAACACCAGCGCTAAAAACGGCAAACTGTCATGAATAGACATTACGGTGGTTTTTAATTTTCGAAATATTATTAGGTGTACGGTTTATCACAATGAAATATATCGATATTTAATCGATGCGGTCGGGTCTCTTTCGTCAGAGTGGAAAAAATGAAAAATCCAAAACTGACGAAACACTATGACGCCGAGAATAATAATATTGTACCTACTATAACGATCCACAATTTTGTAGAATATTTGTTTGTGATTTTACTGGTACCAATAATACCTACGTCAAAAGTGTCAAGTTTCGAGTTGTAGTCGCAAAAGACTGCCCAAAAAAATGAATAGTTGCAGAATACGTTTTCACAGTTATAATAAGAAACCACGCGGCCATTTCGAGGCGGACTCTTGAAATTTCGCAGTGTTCCGGCGCACCTCCTCCCCCAACCTATTAATTCGGTACGTTTAGAATGTATCTGTGGATTTTTATTTTCTTGTTCATTCCGTTGGGGGTTTTTTTTTTTACTCGTCGCATACACGAGTGTAGAACCAAAAGCAGTTCGGGGACGCGCTTTTTTATATTTTCGTTCCAGTCCGACTTACTGCAGAAGAAACCGACCGAAACGTTATAATACAAAAACAGTATATTATTATATTGTTATCTATACTTTTCCGTGCGGGTATTATTTTTTTTTTTTTTCCCAGAGAGAGGTCAAAAAACACCAGTATTTTTGGCAACGGTCCGACCAATTCGTTTTGAAACGTCGTAGTCTAGCGACGATCCGTCATCCGAATTATTATTATTGTTGTGTACTCGACGGCGGTTTCCATTTATATTATGAGAGAAAAAAAAAAAAAAACTAAAAAAAATATTGTACGTCGCCGTCTTCGGTGTATAATAATATTAGACCTCGGCCCGTTCTCGTGACG